AGTGAATCATTAGAAACTGTTGAAAATAATCGCAGAGTGTAAAAGAAGAAATCAGAGCAAGATTTGCTTTCTCAACTTTTCGCTGTCTGTGTAAGTCACAACCAACTTCTTCAGCATAATTATTTAGATTTGATTAACCAACATCAAAATATGTAGCAATTAGTTCCCTTTATGAATTTTGACAACACAACCAGAAGACGTAGTTTATCTGAAACGTGTAATGGCGCAACACATTTCAGACATTCTGATCACATACGTACTTATTATACACAGTTTTTTATAGAACGCAAGAAGGTATGAATAAGTACAATACAGGTCAGATTGTGTACAGGTCAAGGTTACAAATAATGGGTGGGGAGACGCAATAGGTGTGGGTAAGAAAGATAAAAGGAGAGAAGAACAAGGCAAAGAAGGGGTTGAAAATATTATGAAATAAATTGGTCCTTGGTTCTAATTTGGATTACCAAGGCAGGTTTAAGGTGATGACAAATAACTTTTGGACACAGGACAGGTTTAAGTCTTTTTATGGCTAAGGCTTCAATGAGTCTAAGTATGTGGCCCGACCTTGTTTTATATATGAGTTTGTTCAAAGCAAACTTGTGGCCTGTCTTTATAACATTCTTCGCTAGAGATGATGCTGAACATCTATTTCCGGGGTCAGTTGTATCTGGTGATTTCATTTGTTGTTGCAGTCAGTTTGAAATGTGTTCTGTAGCCCTAAAGTGCAGAAACCTATGGATCCTCCCTATATACGTGTCTCCACACATACATGTAAATTGATAAATACAGTGGGACGTGACACCATCGTTTGGATAAAGTGAGGGTTTACAGGAGAGCATAGTTCTCGTTTTCTCTATGGAGATAAGTTTAGCTGGATAATAAGTTCTATTGATTGCGGCCTTTAGTCTTTGTCTAGTGATCAGACTTTGTTAATCATCTCTGAAAGGATGTTTACATATCTGAACGGTCAGTTGTCGCTAGATATTTATACCAATGGAAATATGTGAGCAGTCCTCATATATTTGCAATGATTAGTTTCAAATGATCATGTGTGTATTATTGCCCGCATAAGTGTGTGTATCCGTTTTTTGTTTGCTGTATGGGAAGCACATCAAAACGTCATAATATTTCATTATGTGGTCACAATATAGGATTGAATAGCTTTGTATTTTCTCTCATCTGGTTCAAATTATTAGAGAGAGTCTGTCATAGAGGTGATAGGCCTATCCCTTCTCTCCTATTCTATGCATTCAATGTGGTTGAAATGTGTACGGCTTCAGAGGTCAGTCTTTCTTTTTCGTGTTCAATGAAAGCCTCTTCCTTGAATGTCGACATTGTCGAAATCGATGCTATGTCCGATGTCTACACCCCATGAAATGCTATAGCTGCAATTTTTTCTTTTGACCTTTCAACTCTACTCCATTTCTAGGTGGACGTTTCGTGCACAGCCAATGTTCATTCACCCTGACCTTCACTTGTCTACTGTTCTCCCCTATATAGTAAGCAAGCTTCACAATCTGAACACTTTCTCCTATAGACACAGTTGTTTTGTGTCATTTTAAGAATCATATCTTTGACATTCACAAAAGCTTTGTTTAGAGTGTAGCGGTAAATAATTCCCCAAAATTATTGACCACAGCAATCACTCATTGGATGCTGACCACCACTGTTTAAGTCGACTTGTTTAGCTGAAGGCTTCCGGTCAAGCATCCCCGCCATTTATTACCCTGTCGTGTCACGTGCACGATCACTAGCTAGCTAGGCGTTCGTCTGAAGGCTTGTTTTGGTCCCGAAATATATCACTTAGTTTGGACGATCAAATGTTGGCTTTTGCTTTGTCTTTGGTACGCGAGAATAAATTAATTAGAAGTTGCTGGACGAGATATCCGTCAACCTCTAAAAGAGGATTGGAAGATTTGAAACAGACTTTAATATTATTTGAAGGAAGAAATCGTCTCTGAAGTTATTCAGCTGTGTCTCCTTTCAATATGGAAGGGCTACCATCGATCGATACCCCAGATATCTCAGTTTTTTCTATTTTCCCTTCTGGTCTTTCTTTATTGATAATATTATTTAGCAGCTTTTTCGGATATCCATTTCTAATCCAAATTTGTTTTATATTAGAGATCTCGTTCTCCATATCGTCATTATCTGTTGTTGTAGGGTTTCCAGCTATGTTAACGAGATTTAAAGCTACTGAAATTTTTCATTCCTATTGGATGATCGGATTGAAAATTCAAATACTTGTTAGAATGTGTTAGTTCCTTGTGCATCGTGAACTTTTGCTTCTCGTCAGTTTGTCTTTCTACAAGACAATCCAGATAGTTTAGATTTCCCTCAGTTGATTCAAATTCATAAACAAACTTTATATAGGAGTTATTAAGAAGACAATTGCAGCGAAGAAAATTTTCTTCTCGACGAAGTCATCATCTAGGCTGTACATTCGTGTATTTATATCAAATGGATGAGAAAGTTCCAGAATAATATCCGGTTAAGGATCTAATTAATAAAAATTACAACTAGGAATTAAAATACCATAATAAGCAGTGGAGGGAAGGATAAAACTCAAACAAAGTAGCATCATAATTACTGAGAAGATTGACATATTGTGCAATCAGGGGGTTAGAAGTGTAGAAATAACAAATTAAACAGGAAGTTTGGATAAAAATCTAATGACTCATGAAAAATTCCCATTCTAACACATAGAAAATCAAAACAAGTGGTGATTCAGCAAAGAGACTCTTTTCAACAACGAATTTATCACCAAGCTGTACAGTCGTATATATATATATATATGGTTTTTAAGAAGTTATATCCAGTGAGAGAATTTAATCACTGGTGTGAATGCATAAAATAATAGTAATAGTAGTATGAAATGCAATTAAAAACTAAAATGTTTGTGATTATAATCATAGTTAAATGTCAATTGGCAAAACTAATGTGATGAATCATTGTTTATGCAACTAGGGATTAAATATGTAGAAATAGTAAAATGATAAAATAAACAGGAATTTCGGATATGAATATATGGCAGTGTACACAGGGACTATGAAAAACTTAAATATAACATTAATAAACAGGAATTTTAGATAACAAAGGCTATGGTATGGTCAGAACTAAAAATTACCTGTTTATGATGGCCATGGCAGGGATAGGGGTTGGACGTATTTCTTTTGGATACAAAGCGTGGGTTTGAGTTTTTGCATGGCTTGTGCCTCGGCTATGCCCAAATATCTTAACTTTACTCCCTTTGATAGATTTGATTGAATCTTGTATATTATTTTGAAAGATTTTTCGAATGGCGCTGAATGTCCTGAATACACCAGGTGTTCTGTCACTGAACTATATACACGTTTTCATTCTTCTTTTGCCATCCTGGCTGGATAGTGTTCACAAGAGCGTTTTCCAAGTTGGCGCATGGTACAGCCAATGTACTCAGCTCCGCCAGAGAGCAAGTAAACTGGTATATGCACGTAGAAGTGGCCCAATGGGACAACTTGTCTTTCGCGTTCTGGCTGGACAGTTTCTTGCAGGAAAACATCAGTCGTAGGCTCGCGGCGAAGTATGTCTTCCTTAAAGATTTTCGAAGGCGTTCGCAAAGGATTTCTGCTTTAGTATCACCTTTGAATTCCAGATTAAGCAGAAGTATATTCTTTGGAACGGACTGAACCTGTTTGGAAGTCTTCTTAGATTTGAGATTCTTGTCTTTGAACCTAGGCGGAAAACTGTTTTCCATCAGGGTTCTTCGGAGATCACGTGATTCTTCGACACTCACTTCCTCGCTGTAGACTTTTGAATCTTCAAGGAAAGAGTGTATATCAGGTTCCTCTTTCTGCCTAAGGGTATGAAGCTGTGAAAGCTGATGAATTGTCCATTCCATGTAGGCTTTTTGTATATAGACCTTTTCAGAGAGTTGTTGGCGTTTCTTGTCAGACGAACGTCGAGGAGGTGGAACATTCCGTCGGATTCGGCTTCAAGAGTAAGTCTTTCTTTATGTTTTCAATGAAAACCTCTTCCTAGAATTTCTAGGTTGTCTAAGTCGATCTTACGTCTGCTGTCTATAGTATCAAGCATTCTTATAGCTAATAAATCAATCAATATATGGTAGAGAAGATTTGTAGCTCAGGTGGTTGATTTTGATGTGGTTGTGTTCTCTGTGCTGGATAGTTAATTTGCGAAGATGGGGTGGGTGACCTTGAGCGTCGTGATTGGTTGTTTTTGTGTGTTTTCACACCCTCTAGACTGCTGCTTGTATTGGAACTGATTGTTTCTTTGACTTGAACTTTGACCTTTTGTGCGTGTGAGGTTTCTTTTCTATCGGTTGGTCACCAGCAGAGATGATCAATAAACTCGTGGAGAAATCTAAAAGCTCACTTCAACAAATTGAAGTATGCGTGCTGAAGATGTCATCCAGTAGGGCGATGAGAGCTTCGCAAATCAACTATTCAGCTCAGAGAACACAACCACGTCAAAATCAATCAATAAATATTGAAAATGCTATCGAATCTACCAAAATGTAATTAATATTAATAAAAAACTAATAAAACAGACACAAATGTCTCGCTCTCTTTGTCTCTCTGTCGATTAAAGTTAATAATTGTGCCTATCAAATTATTCTACTTTTTGGAAACATATTTGAAATTGCGCAATTAATCAATTGTAGTGTTGTTGGATTTGTGTATGTGTGTGTGTGTGTTGCCGTAGCCTTCAGCTATACTACACATAAGCGTATTTCACTCTTGCAATCACTACTACTTGAAGTAGGTAGGTCTAATGCGAATAATACAAAGTCAACACAAAAACATGCTATTCAATGAAGGATATTCATATATACGCACAAAAGCTACACACTCTCTGGTCAAACAAACTGGATACGATTAGTTATTGTTATGTAACAAATCTGTACAATTAAATATGTCCGACTTGTATGCATATATGTATATATATATATATATATATGGAGAGAATGAGAGAGAGAGATGGTGGTGTGTATGTTTCATGCAGGCTTTGATTTCTTAAGTGCAGATATCTTTACTCTATCTAAATGAGTCCAATTAAAAATGACTCAGCTGACCAACATAGTCAATAAATTGTGTTGGTCGTAGTTCTACTGTAGATATTCTTGAACACGATAGTTAAGTGTTCTTGCATTACTTTTGATTATTTGTTGGTCATTATTTCTGAGGCAGCATAAATTTGCACAGATAAAAATGGAGTATCTGAAAGTAGATTATTATGCAGCGTAAGTTACTTTTTTTTGTTTGTTAAACACAAGTGCGTGTTTTGCCATGTCCCGTCATGAAAGTGACCGGATTACTTTTGTACTTCATGCATTTATTCCTCCATTTGTGAAAAAATTATATTTGTAAAATCTCAGCGAGATTGAAATGAGTTATTTTCAACGTTTTCTATGTTTTCGGCGATCTGATCCGAACTTCTTCAGGGAAATTAATCGAAATTAACATCTGTTATTTTAAAAAAACTTTGTCCAATCATGAGTCATAAAACAAGTATTAACAAGTATAATAAACAAAATTGCACGAGCTGTGATCGAAATTTGACCTCAGACTTACAAATATTCATCTACCTTTGTTGAACACAGTGTGCATGCGTGTGTGGGTAAACAGTTTTAAAACAATGTCTTAACGTCTCCATAACAAGATATAGACAATCAGGAATTTCGACCAAGTATTATTTATTAATTAGTGTTACATATCCATTTTTATTTATTAATCAGGATTTCCTACGCATCAGCTAACATCGCGCCTTCATGTCTGCTCAAACTTCTAGTGTCTAGAATTTTATGATTAAACGTATTTTTAAATGATAATTTCGAATAATTTCCCTGATTTTCAGTGTGGAGCGAAGACAGCTGTTGACGAAGGTCTGCAACAGGCTGTTGGAAATATTCTTTGTGACACGCCCGCCAACTTCCTGATCCGTATCGAAGAACTGACTGACTGGATGTTGTTTGTATTGAAAATCTGACCGAATTTCGTTGTTGATGATGAGTTGAGTGACGAAGATTTCCAGATTGCTTTCAGGTTGATGAATGTGTGCGTTTCTCGCCTTCCTGATTCTCGCTCGGTTTGACATCCTTGTCCGTTCCTCCTGTAGTTGAGACAATGCTCCCTAGATAAGTGAATGAAGTAACCTCTTTCAAATCGCTCCCGTTGATGGTGATTGGCGCTGGATGTTGCTGTTGTTGTTGTTGGTTATTTTCATCACCTCCGTTTTGTCTATGTTCACTTGGAATTCTGTCTTCGCCGGCTGCTTCTTGGACCAGTTTGTTGGTTTTCGCTTGTAAGCCTTCAAAAATGTGTGACATCAAACATAAATCATCGACGCGCGAAGTCCAAATCTTCTAGGTTTTTCACGTCGGTCGGTCCGGGATATCCCTGTCTTCTCGTTTCCCACTCACTGTCTAACGCATAATCCAGTCCATCACAATTAGGAATATCATTGGTGATAATAGGCAGGCAGCCTTGTCTGACTCCTGTGTTTACTCCAAACGCCTCGCTGAGTTTTCCTTTGTGGATCACTTGACATGTGCCGTTGTCGTACAGCTAGCTGTTGAATAAGGTTGATGAATATTTGGGGCACTGTACGCCGTAGTACTCGAGTAATTTCCAAATTACTTCGCGGTCAATGCTGTCTGTCGAAGGCCTTCTCGAAGTCTATAAAGTTGAGGTAGATGTTTGATTGATATTCCACGCTTTGTTCCGTGATGATGATGCGTAGAGTTGCAATTTGGTCAGAACATGATTTGCCTTTCCTGAATCCAGCTTCTTCTGATCGCATTAACAATAAAGATGACGAAAATAACGAAAATAATATGGAATTCAAAGCCTGTGTAGTAGTACTGTATAAAAAGAAAGGACGTTAGTGGCATCACGTTAGGATTCTCAATGGGGCTATAATTACTCAGGGCGGCTTTCAAACCAACCAATCGATTCTCCTGAAGATAATCTTTGTTCGTAGTCTAAAGAACTCTATACATCCAATAAAGAGAAATAATTTAATTCACCAGATAACATGCAATTAGTGACTGCTAGTTAGGGCAATTACATAGGTCGTCAAACAAGTAGATCAGGGTCAACTAGATTACTGGAACATAAAAATTTAGCCAGAACCAGAATGACTGATCTTTTTAAATTAAATAACCTGGAAGAAAGCTCAGCAATTGCACCGCATTAACTTGCATCTATTACCAGAACAGGTTGAGTGTGACAGAGTGAGAGTATTAAAATGTAATATAGTTAGGTGGAGAGAGACAGAAAGGTTAATAATTGAAGCTTTGTTTATCAATTCAACACCACACACACACACACACATGCAGTCAATCAGACTGACACAATGCCGCCTATACCGGAGATATGGAAAGTGGCAACAAATAACAGAGGAAAGATATAGTGAGAGGCGGGAAGAGAGAAAGCATATGTTGAAGACAAACTGTGAAACTGTGTGACTTGATTGATATGCTTCAATTCAAGGATAATCCCCATTCCCTAAGCATTATTGAAAACAAAACACGTAGAACAGCGAAGAGTCTCTTTTCGATAGCGAATTCATTTTCTTAGCTGTACAATCACAAATATACAAATGAGTTATCTTGTAAATATGTGTTCATTGAGTTTGTCAAACAAAAATACAATTGGTTATGAATACTTTACCTGAACAGGTGAAGATTGCTAATTGGAGTGACGTAATACAAAATCAGTCAAGAAAGAATAGTTTGATGATTGAGTATTACTCAGGATGCACATAAGAACAAAGAAGAGAATAGGAAATTACGTAAGAGTTCTAAATGAGCAAAAGAATTATAAGCAATTCAAGAAACAGGGAAACAAAGAAAATTTAGTCATCAAAATCAACAAAGTTGTTACGATGACAGTAAAAGTGGATATTGAGTAATCGTCTTTTGTATTCACAGCTCCGGTTTTTCTATGTGAATGGCCAGAGCTTCAGCGATACAAAGAAGACGAAACCGTGTTGCTTTTGGTAGGTGGTTATTCTTGACTCCGTAGATTACTTTGAAGCAGGAGGTGTTTCTTGAGATGGAATGATCAGTGTTAACCACTCCTTATTGCACCACTATTGCCTTCTCGCATCCATGCTGGATAGTGTTCTGGAATCCTCTTGGACAGGGTGCGCGCGTCGAACGACTGATGTACTTGTCTGGTTCCACAGCAGCAGATGAACTGATCTATGCACACAGAAGTGGTCAGATGTGGGATCTTGTCCTTGAGGCTTCTGCAGATCAGTGGAGGGCTCAAGGGCACTAGTTTCTTGCGTTGCTGCAAAGAATGTTCTCCTCATAGATGATGTGATCCTTCTCTTGCTAAATCTCTCTTGACATCCAAGTTCATGACTTCATATTGTCTCTTTGCCTGTTCTTTAATTGCTTATAATTCTTGTATATTCATCTATAACTCATACGTAACTTCGTATTCCCTACTTTGTTTCCATGTGTGTCCTGAGTAAAACTCAATCACCAAACTATTCATATTATTACATAACTCCTTTTTTAACAACTGTTTGTGACAACTCATCACCTTTGTTGCTACCTTAATTATATCGACACCTAATTTTCGTGACTGATCTTGGCATTACGTAACTCCAACTACTAATCTTCACCTGTTTATTTAAAATAACCATAACCAATTGTAATTTTGTTTGACAAACAGTGTACATATATATATATAAAATAACACATACATTTGTGATTGTCCAGCTTAGAGCGAATGAATTCGCCGAAAAGAGACTTTTCGCTGATCTACATGTTTTTTTCATCAAATTGATAAGTTTATAAGTGGCAATAATTTACTTTCGAAACCTTTTTACCCCGTTGTTAATACTGCATTATCATCACAGTGTGACATTTAAAATAAAATTATCTAATACGGAATTACATACTATTACAATGCTCAAGTTCTACATTTACATTATCAGAAGTTTAGCCGAACTAAGTACACATGAATTAATACAGGTGTATATCTTGGGTGCTGTGGTACAAGACAATATTATATCACTCTGTTTATCAAACATATCACACAATGACGAGACCGTATTATTTACTGGATAACAACTCTTCGAACACAGCTTATTGTTCTTAATCACATGGAATGTATCTGCACAACTTTTAAACGTGACTTTTATCATCCTCGTTCTCACTTCTCATTTATTTATTATTATTATTATTGTATCCTTTAGTTCCTAGAGGAACATAGGGCTCCAAGTCTTTTGTGTCAGTCCATTTTATGCCTGTTCCCTCGTTGGTTGCCGTTGTCTGTCGCATTATCCAATCAATTGCAATCAGGAAGATCATTGGTGATAGTAGACAGCCTTGCCTCACTCCCGTCCTCACTTCGAAGGCTTCCGTAAGTTTCCCGTTGTGGATTACTTGGCATGCAGCATTGTCGTATAACTGTTGGATGAGGTGTATAATTGTCGATGGGACCCCGTAGTAGCGAAGTAGTTTCCAAATGACCTCTCGATCGACGCTGTCGAAGGCCTTTTCAAAGTCGATGAAGTTGAGATAGAGAGGTGACTGCCATTCCAAGCTTTGTTCAATGATGATCCGTAGAGTGGCGATTTGATCAATACATGATTTGTTTCTCCTGAATCCAGCCTGTTCCGGACGAAGTTTTTCATCTAGGGCTTGTTTGATTCTCTCCAGGATGATGCGACTTAGTATCTTGCTTGGAATGGACAGAAGCATAATTCCACGCCAGTTTTTACATTGACTTAAGTCTCCTTTCTTTGGAAGTTTGAATAAGTAACTGTTCTTCCAATCCTCGGGTACTTTGCCCTCTTTCCACACCTTCTCCAGTAGTGGTGTCATCAAGTCCGCTGTTGTCTCTGGGTCTATTTTCAAAGCCTCTGCTGGGATTCCATCTGGTCCCGGTGTTTTCCCAGCTTTAAGCATCTTGATTGCATTCAGGACTTCTGATTTCGTCGGGGGGTCAGTGTTCACTGGTAGTTCTGCTTCCGTTGTTGGTATTGCTGGACGTGTTGTAGGTGGCGGACGATTTAGAAGTCTTTTGAAGTGTTCAACCCAGTGCTTTCTCTGTTCCACCTCTTTGGTGATTGACTTTCCATTGTCGTCCTTTATTGGCTTAATCTGTGTCGAACGTTTGCCCGAAAGGTTCCTAGTTGTTTGGTAGAGTGTGGCGAGGTCTCCTTTGCCTGCAGCTTGTTCTGCTTCGTTTGCCATGGTTTCATAATATTTTCTTTTGTCTTCCCTGGCACTTTTCTTCACTCTTTTGTTCAGTGTATTGTAGCTTGCATTCAGCTCCTGTTTTTGTTGCTCGTCAGTGCACTGGATAATCTTTTGCTTCACTGTCCTTCTCTCTTCTATTAGTTTCCAAGTGTCCGTAGTGAGCCACTGTTTGTCCTGTCTCTTTTTTCTGCCTAGAATTTCTATGCAGGTTTGGCTCCACACCGTTTTCAAGTTGTTCCAGTGCTTTTCAACGCCGACCTCTTCGCTAGTGTTGATTTGTGTCTCGGCTTTGTCCTTTATGCTTGCAATGAAGATGTCCTTTGTAGCCTGGTCCTTCAGCTTTTGAGTGTTGAACTTGGCTTGTGGTCTATCTGCAGCTCCTGATTCCCTGAAAGCTTTTAATTTGATTTGGATTGTCCCTTGTACGAGATAGTGGTCTGAGCCAACGTCTGCTCCTCTTCTTGCTTTTGTGTCCAGTAGGCTGCGCCTCCACTTCCTTGAGATTGAGATGAAGTCGATTTGGTTTTTGGTTTGCCCGTCTGGTGACACCCATGTAGCCTTGTGGATATCTTTGTGCTTGTATACACTGCCACCAATCACCAGTTCGTTGAAGGCGCAGAAGTCGGCGAAGAGTTCTCCGTTTTCATTCATTTCTCCTAGAGCTTCTCTACCCATGATGAGTTCCCTTCCCGTATTGTCTGGTCCCAGTTTGGCGTTCATGTCTCCCATTAGTATTTTCATGTCGCCAGCTGGAGTATTGTCCATTGTTGCCTGTAGTTGCCTGTAGAATTCTTCTTTCTTCTCGAGGTCTGCGTTGTTTGTGGGTGCATAACATTGTATGATTGACACTTTCCTTCCTTTGGAGTTGAACCTGGCGGTCATTATCCTGGACGAAATCGCCTCCCATTGTATCAGGGCTTTCGTTGCCGTTGGTGACATCATGATAGCCACGCCCTCGGTGTGCGTGTGGTTATCTTCTGGGTGACCGGAGTAGATCACTGACTCACCTGTTGACAATTTGGTGAGTCCACTCCCATTCCATCTGCTCTCACATATTCCCAGCACTTGTATTCCGTATCTTTTCATCTCGTTGGCGATCTGGGCAGCTTTCCCAGTCTCGTACATAGTTCGGACGTTCCATGTTCCTACACAGACTTTTTCTTTTGGTGCAAGGAGGTTCAACATACTGAAGTTTCTGTAGCAATTTTTGTTTACAGGGTGGGGTTGCTAGCCTCACGCCTGAGAAAAGAATGATTACATTAAGTAAAAGTTTAGAGAGAAGCAACTTTTTGGGTTGCTCCCCTCAAAATCAGAAAATAACGGACAAACAATGAGAACAACATCAACAAAGGAAACAGTTCACAGAAAAAAGGGCAAAAAGCGACGACAACTATACAATAAGACAACATGCAATATAGTTCAGTACATTTAACTAAAATGATATCTTAACCATAAACTCACTGACTTGGAGCAACTTGAACATATAAATCCAACAATATATACAATTATAGATGTGTTTATGTTTAAAAATTCCACAAATCCAAACAGTGGGTTATGTGTATTATCTCATTTAGGAACACACATATGTCATCATACAGATCGCCACTCGTAACGTTATTTCTTATCTGTACAGTTACTTTGGCGCTTATACATGAATACACTGTTAACTGTCAACAAAGGATCAACTAAACCAATACTTGAAAATTAACCTGATGCTCACTAGCGACTGCCCTATTCAGGTAGTTAACCTGGGGTTCTAGTGGGATGTCGTGACCAGAAGGGTACAGCAGGTTGAAGATGAGGCAGTAACTCATCGAAGCAGAAGACATTGCAAAATGGTCACGCGATGTCGTGAATTTGCAGAAGTTAGAATTTTTGGGGCTAACCATTGGATCGTTCCCAGTGGCTCAATGGTCTACGAGCTCGCTAGCCTTGTAACCAGAAGGTCCTAGATTCGAACCCCGGTTGGTGCGTGCTGACGAAGACTCCCAGACCAGGACGAAACAGCTGTCGATTACTCCCAGTCGGTTTTTCAGTGGTTCCCTAACTGATGTCACCTCATATTGAAATCCTCTATGCAATCAAATGCCTTATTTATCAGTTCCACGGATATTCACTTATAACTTGATCAGCTGAATAGTTAAGTTCAAGTGTTAGTTTGTAGGGATTTGATTGGTTTCAGGATTTCATCATGAGCTGACATTAGTTAGAGAACCATTGGAAAACCTGGGAGTACTGGACAGCTGTTTCGAAGACATTGGCTAGCGGTGGCGGTATGTCGTGAATTGGCAGAAGTTAGAATTCAAGGACCATTGGATCGGGTCCCAGTGGCTTAATGGTATACGAGCTCGCCTTGTAATCGGAAGGTGCTGGGTTCGAACCCCGGTGGGTGCGTACTGCTGAAGAGTCCCAAAATAAGGTTAACGAAACAGCTGTTCAGTACTACCAGGTTTTCCAATGTTTCTCTAACTAATGTCAGCTCATGATGAAATCCTGAAAAGTTAAGTACCTGACTCCGATACCCGATTAACACACGTTTGAAACTAGCAATGAAGATGGAGAACAGTATTTTATTTGACTGAATACTAGCCAGTAACTAGTGTAATGTATCTAGTCATTTGTTTACTGCAGACTGATATCTATAAGCCAGTTAAGTTTGCTTTGTGGCCATCATGCTACTAGGTGGCTCGCCATCACGATGCCCTGTGAGTTGTTGTTGTTGTTGGTATAAGACGATTGGAAGCAATTGGCCTTGGGGAAGCCTTCCTCATCCTACATTTCTCGCTAGTTGGCAGTGGTCAGCAAACAAAAGATCAGACCCCTGACACTAGTTAGTTAGTGTCCAGTCAAAGGTTTTTTTAATTTTTAATTTATATTTTTGGTTACAGCTTGATTCCACACCGTATTTTTGGTACAAGTGTGGAATTTTCAGCGTGGATATCGGTAGCCCAAAATTCGCAGGCCAACCATAGGTGTGCGTCGGCGTGGGCTCGAACCCCGGACCATGTGCATGGTCGGCGAGAGTCCTATCCACTGTGCCACCGACGCACAATCCAATACAGCCTGTCCAGGAGGCCAGTCGCGAGGCAAATTACTACTCGGTGGAAAAATGTCTGTAACTTTAGCATTGAGTGACACGAATCTAAATGTTGCATATATGGGCCTGCCTTGCTGACTAGTGGTGAGTACCAGTAACTAGCACGTAACCTAGATCGATTAAGGCTTCCTGTGGCCGATTGCCTGAGACCGAGCGATTCGATCCAATCAATCGACGGGAAAGTCTTAAACTGAATTAAATAATTAATTCAATCCGTTGCACAACAGGCAGTGGATGTCGTGGCCCAAGTGGTTCGATAGATAACGCTTTGGCGTCTGAAACTACGGGCATGGAATTCGAGCCTCTGTGGGACTATCATCACTCACTGACTCACTGGGGAATGCAGCTTCATCTACAAGCTGACGAGTCCTAATTAGGACGAAATGAGCATTATCCTGGATGATTCCCTGTGCTGGTCACCATTCACTAACTAACTTCTAATCACTTGTAGATTATTTCCCTATTCACACTGAATTAGTATCATATTCACTTTTATCTTTATAGCACAAAAGGCTAACTCAAGTATCAGTGGAACTTGAATTAATTATGACTATCATTTTATTTTCATATTCCCAACAGAATGAAAGATACTCATTGGGATCCTATTTTCAGACAACTTGCTCAATTACTATCCAATCGTCTATTAGAGGTGTGTTATTCTCGAACAAATTTACCAGGCGATCTATGGGGATTATCAAAACTGCAAAAGGTTCACCTTGAAGGTGATATAAAAGCACGGAACAACTGTCACGTGGATGCTAATAGTGGTAGTAGTAGTAGTAGTAGTCGACCTTGCTCAAAAATCCGCCTGTTTCTAAAATATTTCAATGAAAATAATCATAATAATAGTGATAGTGGTGGGGGAACGGAATCACAATGTATCGTCAACTTGGAGAAGGTTACCCTGACTACCAAGCAACCAATGTCTCCGTGTTTCTTACAACCTTATATTCAGATGCACCAAGAGAGATTAGAACCGTATAACTGTCCGATGAAATCACAAAATGGATATCACATTGCTGAAAGAAATCATGGATATTTACCTGTCAATTTATCGCAGTGTTACACAATGGATTTACCTCTTAATTCATCATCAAATATTCCGTTAATACCTCGAGTTGACAACCCACCGATACTAGATCTTCTTCAAATGACTGATTATACAAAGCCGTCTTTGTGGAATGTAAATAATTTGACAAATACGCCTAATGACCTAAACAGTCGATTGTTAAGGCTTCTAAATCTTCAGGCTTTTAATAATCGATTAGGTTTTTTGAATAATACTCAATTTCTTAATAATTTAGTACATAAAGAATACCAAAGTCTTCTCAATCTGATCAACATACTCTCGTGCTCAAAGTACCAACATTTACTCACAGAAACATGCCATACAACACCATACAGTAACCCTCTACATATGAATCGATTACTACTAACTACTGACGAGCTATCGATGAAAGCAGCAGACACATTATTCAACAGGCACAACTGTATTCACAATGAATCAAGCACTATTTTAAAAAACGCGCTATCAACACCACTGAAGACATTGGACTTCTCACATAGGAGAGATGATGCTAATTTTGAAAATAGCTTTTTAATCTACCAACCATTATTAACACAGATTAACAACAATTTTTCAAGAGCTAACTACAACTTAATGAGGGCAAATCATTTGCCTTTCTATCGCCCTATTCATCCTGTTCATCTTCAACCTCGGGTTGTTTTTAACGTTTTATCTCCGAATTCAACATCTGTGGATCAATTAAATTTTCTTCTGAAAACTGTTTCGCCATCAAATAAAAGATACTGTCGTCTTGATATGTTATTTGTGCAAGATGAGGCTAAGACTCGATTCATGTGTCAAGTGAGTCAATATTGTTGTTGAGCAGAAAAATTGTGTTAAATGTTCAATTTTCATGTTTCATGATTTTATTCATCATTTAAACCAATAAAAGAATAAGAAAGTGATGTCTGTTTATAAGATATATTCATGGATAATCCCCATCCCCCAAGCATTAATGAAAACAAAACACGTAGATCAGCGAAGAGTCTATTTTCCACAGTGAATTCATTCGCACTTAGCTGTACAATCACAAATATATACGCCTAGATTACTAGCTCGCTGGTTTTCTTGCCGGTCTTAAGCCCGGATAAAGACGGAGGGTTAGGGCGTGGTACTAGCAAACCCACCCCCGTAAAACATCCAAATCGCTACAGAAACTTCAACGAATAAATATATTAAAAATTCTAAAAATATAAACAATAACCTTATTTTTTGCTGGAATCGGGGAAGTGAAATGACGCAGGCTGGTGAAAGCCTTCGGGAAGCCAGTCAGCCGATGTGCCTTCTTTCGATGAAAGCAAAAGTAAGGATGGGTACCTGGAATGTTCGTACAATGTACGAAACTGGAAAGGCTGCCCAGGTAGCCGCAGAAATGAGAAGATATAGAATAGAAGTGTTGGGAATGCGCGAGATCAGATGGAACACCTGTGGAAGGTGCCAACTACCAACTGGAGAGACAATAATCTATTCCGGCCACCCAAAGGACAATAACGAGCACACCGAGGGAGTGGCCATCATGATGTCACCAACAGCAACCAAAGCTCTCATGCAGTGGGAACCAATCTCCTCCAGGATAATGACAGCCAGGTTCAACTCAAAAGGAAGGAGAGTTATAGTCATTCAATGCTATGCGTCTACAAACGTCTGAGAACCAGAGAAGAAGGAGGCGTTCTACAGACAACTACAAGCACTGAAAGCGGACCCAGAGACTACAGCAGACATGCTGACTCCATTATTGCAAAAGGTCTGGAAGGAGGGAAATGTGCCTACTGACTGGAGGAAAGGTTACCTCATGAAATTACCGAAGAAGGGAGACTTAAGTCACTGCAAGAACTGGCGAGGAATCATGCTGCTATCGACGCCAAGTAAAATCCCGAATCGCATCATCCTGGAGAGACTAAAGGACGCACTCGATATAGAACTCCGACCAGAACAAGCTGGATTCAGGAAAGGCAAATCATGTTCTGACCAAATTGCAACTCTACGCATCATCATCACGGAACAAAGCGTGGAATATCAATCAAACCTCTACCTCAACTTTATAAACTTCGAGAAGGCCTTCGACAGACAGCGTTGACCGCGAAGTAATTTGGAAATTACTCGAGTACTACGGCGTACAGTGCCCCAAATATTCATCAACCTTATTCCACAGCTAGCTGTACGACATGGTCACATGTCAAGTGATCCACAAAGGAAAACTCAGTTAGGCGTTTGGAGTAAACACAGGAGTCAGACAAGGCTGCCTGCCTATTACCAGCAATGATATTCCTAATTGTGGTGGACTGGATTATGCGTTAGACAGTGAGTGGGAAACGAGAAGACAGGAATATCCTGAACGACGTGAAGAATTTTCAATACAAACAACGTCAAGTCAGTCAGTTCTTCTATACGGATCAGAAACTTGGCGGGCGGGTCACAGAGAATATTTCCAACAGCCTGTGGCAGACCTTTATCAACAACTGTCTTCGCTCTATACTGAAGATCGATCAGATGGCCGGGCTGAAGAGAATCACCAACAAGGAACTATGAGAACAAACAAAACAAGAACCAATCGCTCAACAACAAGTATGCGGGAGAAATTGGAGATGGATTGGACACTCCCTGAGGAGGCCGCCACCAGGTGACATCGCGCGCTCGTCAGGCCATCGCTCGAGTGGAACCGGAAAGGGAAGCGGTGAGTGGGACATCAGTGCGAGGGTGACATGGAGGAGATCGTGTGAAGAGGAGTTGAAACAGTATGGACTAACATTGATGCAGATGAAAAAGTACGGTGGAAGACAGAAGCAAGTGGAGACGTTCAGTTGAAGCCGTATGTTCCACTAGGAACCCAAGGGAACAATAATAATAATAATAATAATTTTGTATGTATGTGTGCATTATGTTTATGAAAAATTATATAATTGGTTATGGTTATTTTAAATAAACAGGTGAAGATTGATAATCGGAGTCACGTAATGTCAAAATCAGTCAAGATAATTATGTGTTACTGACATTAGGGTAGTAACAAAGGTGATGAGTTGTCACAAACAGTTGTTAAAAAAGAAGTTATGTAATAATATCAATAGTTTGGTGATTGAGTTTTACTCAGGACACACATGGGAACAAAGTAGAGAATACGAAGTTACGTATGAGTTTTGAATGAATATACAGGAATTATAAGCAATTAAAGAACAGGCAAACAAACAAAATTAAGTCATCAAAAATCAATAAAATTGTTATCATGACAGTAGAAGTGGTTTAGTAATCCTCTTTTGTACACACAGCTCCGGATTTTGTATCTGAATAGCCAGAGCTTCAGCGATCCAAAAAAGACGAAACTGTGATTCCTTTAATGGGTTATCCTTGACTGTGTAAATTACTTTGAAGCGGGAGTCCTTTGTTGAGACGCAATGATCATTGTAAACCAGGTGTTCAATTATCGTACTCCTCACTGTACCACTATTGCCTTTTTGCAACCATGTTGGATAGTGTTCCTGAATCCTGTTGGACAGGGTGCGCGTCAACGATTGATGTACCTGGCTAGCTCCACAGTAGCAAGTGAACTGATATATGCACATAGAAGTGGTCAGATTAGGGACCTTGTCCTTGAGGCTTCTGCAGATTAGTCGGAGACCAGTGAACACTATTCTTGGTGTTGCTGCAAACAATGTTCTTCTCAGAGATGATGTAATCTTTCTCGGGAGAATATCTCTTGCTAAATCTCCCTTGAAATAGAAGTTCATCTAGAATTTCCCCAAATTCTTGGTTTGATATTTTTGTCAATGAATCTCCCAGTTGCACGTCGGTTAAAGGTACTGAGGTATAACTGAACACAAATTTTGTAAGTTCTTCAGGAAATTCGCTGCAAGGTTTCATCTGCTTAAGACTGTTGTCGAGCTGGTTTTCGGTAGACTGAGACAGTTTCTTTATAACTAATTTGATATATTCGGTGAATCTTTGACATTCGTCCAAAGTCAGTTCGTATTTGTATTGAAAATCTGACCGAATTTCGTTGTTGATGATGAGTTGAGTGACTAAGATTTCCAAATTGGTTTCAGGTTGATGATTGTGTTTCTCGCCTTCCCGATTCTCGTTCGATTTGATATCCTCGTCTGTTCCGATTTCCTGTAGTTGAGACAATGCTCCCAAGATAAGTGAGTGAATGAAGTAACCTCTTTCTAATCCCTCCTGTTGATGGTGATTGGCACTGGATGTTGCTGCTGTTGTTGCTGTTGGTTGGTTATTTTCATAACCTCCGTCTTGTCTATGTTCACCTGGAGTCCTGTCTTCGCCGGCTGCTTCTTCGATCAGTTTGTCGGAACAATGTACTGAGTTCAACTGAAATCATAAAAAAAGAGACAAGCAAGATTACAGTATATCAGAGTGGGTGAGAAGTGAGTTGAAAGCCAAAGATTGCGTGATCAAATAAAAGAGAGAATAAAAACATCCAACAATCGTCAACTTTAAATCTCAGCGGGTCATTTAACACAGTTTTGTATCTTTGCGATTTAATAGTATATATATACATATATATAGAGAGAGAGCAGGAAAAAGAGTGATCTGGTGTTACCCAACAAGCCACTGTGTTGATACCCCTCTAGCTCACATCGTTTTTTAGCAGGTATTATTGCTATTATTATTATTGTTTCCTTTAGTTCTGTGATCAGATGGCCAGAAAAGATCAGCAACAGGGATCTCTGTCAATGAGCGAACCAACCCAGCAGGAACCGATTGTGAAACAAATAGGCAGAAAGAAATGGAGATGGATTGGCCATACGCTGAGGAAACCATCAAGTGACATCACTAGACAAGCCATCGCTCGAGTGGAACCCGAAAGGGAGGCGGCGAGTTGGTCGTCCAAGGGTGACTTGGAGGAGGTCATGCGAGGAGGAGATGAAAGCATGTGGACAGACCTGGAGCAGGGTGAAAAAACTGTCAGAAAACCGAAGGCAATGGAGGTGCACAGCTGAAGCCCTATGTTCCTCTAGGAACTAAAGGATACAATAATAATAATAATTAGTTCTTAGAGGAACATAGGGCTCCAGCCACACGTCTGGTTTGCGTTTGGTCCTCTGTCAACGTTTTCATCACCTGGCTCCACGTCTGCCCACATGTTTTCATCTCTTTTTCACATCGCCTACCCCATGTCACCCTCGTACTCCCGTTCGGGTTCTACTTAAGAGTCTGTTGTGTGATGTCACTCACTTGATGGTTTTCTCATTGTATGGCCTAAAAAAAAACAAGGAAGGTTAGGAGTGAGGCTAGAAACCGTACTCCCCTTTTTCGGGACACAACGAATGAAAATAAGACTGTTTAAAGTACAAGTCATTACCAGTAAGCTTTATTGAAGCTTACCTTCTTTGAATCAGAGTGAAATGGCTTCACTGTTGTAACATGAAGCCCTAAATATATGTATAAATATATATATATATATATATGTTCGTAGTTGTATGAAATCTACGATTATAAATTTCCGAATATAAATGACAAACATGCTTTATAAACACTCTTATCTTTCAGCAATGTAAACGTGAATGGACTTCTATGAAAGGTACCATATCATTTTTGGTAATTCTGTCAGCCTACACCACGGGATTAATACACCTCTTCGATTATTGGATAATTAATCCAGGAGCTAATGTATTCTTTGAAATTTTTCCACAAGTCTGTTCAACTTGTCAAAATCTCTGTGAACCGAAATGGTATCCTGAAGAAATAGACAAGGTGAATTACTTATATTTTGTTTTGTTTTGAAATTGATTTGTTTTACTATATCAGCTGAAAATGAGGTCTATTTTATTTTATAAATAATTTTGAGCGCATAATTTCAACTGGAATTTTATGGGTTCGAATCCCGGTGGGTGCGTACTGCTGAGGAGTCCCAAACTAGGACGAAACGGCTGTCCAGTACTCCCAGGTTTTCCAGTGGTTCTCTAACTGATGTCAGCTCATGATTAAATCCTCCATGCAATCAAAGATTCCATATTAGTTTGCTTATTAGATGTATCACACAGTGAGTGAAAAATTATTACTTACTGGATGACAGGGTTTCGAACAAAATTTATTTATTGTTCATAATCATTTCATCAAGTATAATCACATGATTTCTGAACTTGAGTTTTATAGTTTTCTTTGTCCTCTCCTATTTGTCGTCGTTGCAGGGGTAGTAGAATTTTTCAGATGTCCAGCTGGATAGGCGTTGAATCATTCCTTTTACACGTATTCTCTTCAGTTGATTCGATAAACAAAACTTCTGTTATCAATCCCTCCCTCCATCCTGCGAAATTACATTTTAAAACCGTCATCCTATCCCATATAGCCCATTGTATGGTTGTGTGTAACCGCATGTAGTGCTATAGCTGAACTATTCTCTAGACAGACATTTAACTAAGCATGTCTTCACAAGACGGGTAACGGATGAGATGAATTAGAGTCTAAATATCCAATATTAGAATAAGTTGGCTTTTTATAAACGCCACTAGTGTGTAGTTTACCTTCTTCTATTCGTTTTATCCTACAATATAACATAGCTAATTCTTCTTGTTCATTTCCCGATTCAAATGTGAATTTTGGTTCCCTCTACTAATGAGTTTATATGTGTCAAGAAGCTAGAGATATGTTCTGTTTTTAACACTGTGAGTGAAAGTGTCATTCACATATCTCTACCACATTTTCGGAGTAGGATTAAATATATATTAAGAGCACTATTTTCCCAGAAATTTTTGTCCAGAAATACATCTGCTACGATAGGGGATGTTGGTGATCCATCCTATTGCTACACCTTCTGTGCTTTTATATATTTAGCCCTGGAATTTAAACATAGTAGATATGAGGCATATTTGAATTCTTAAAACAATTTCTTCAATGGGAAGCTTTGTCCTATGAGTGAGTAATTTCACGATCTGCAGTCAGTTCGGTTTTAATCGCCTCTAAGAGCATAGTGATTGGTATATTATTGTAAAGACTAGTTTTATCAAAACCAACCATTTTTTTAAAAAAATTATTCTCTAATTGAACGTCATTTAGTTTTCTTTTCATTTCATATGTGAATTAGTTGGCCTACAGGTTGAACGACTTCAAATAAGACATAATATTAGAGCTTCATTCTGACTTCATTCTGCATATTAAATGAAGCCGTCACTGGATGAGTGAGTCTAAATGGTTTAGTTTAATGCCTAAAATTGATAATGCTAGTAGAATGTATGGTACTATTAAAATATATAAGCCAGGTGACCCCATACGACCAATAGTAGATTTTAGAAATACCCCTACTTATGAATTATCAAAACACGTAGCTCAGCAAGTGTTGGTTTGCAAGGATTTGATTGATTTCAGGATTTCATCATGAGTTTATATCGGTTAGAGAGAGAGAGAGACAGAACCATTGGAAAACCTGCAGAGAGCCCTGAACAGCTGTCTTTTCCTGGTTTGATACCCTACAGTAGCAGCCAACCTACTACATAATTTATTTTGAACACTTGTCGCCATGTTCATTCATTAACATCATATTTTTCAGGGTGTCTATCAGACTACTCATAACTCGTCAATACTTGTCAATCGACAATCCCGCCTGCCCGCCTAGTTAGAATTTTGATTATTCATCACATTTTTGGAACATTTTGATGAGGTAAACTAACTAACTTTAATTTTTTTTGGACAATCCTTATGTACAGACACATACACACACACTGAAAATAATTGTATATAGATGGTAAACAGGGGAAATCAATCGACGAAGTCGTGAAGTTACAAAGACTGAGATGGTTAGGACATGTGTTACGAATGCCAAGCCATCGCCTCCCTCGACGAGCAATGTTAGCGGATATAGGGTCAGGCTGGAAAAAAGTTAGCGGCGGTCAAACAAAAACCTGGCACCAGTCAATGAAATCCACAACAGTTGGTCTAAGCCACATAGGAAGGTGTAGACTTCCAGGCTGGGGCCCTCAGGACGGTAAAAATCTATGGTTGGAAACAATTGGTGACATGTCTCAAAATCGTTCTCAGTGGCGGAGATGCATCCACTCCTTGTGACTTATGATCTCCAATGAAACTGTTTTGTTCTTCGTTATTACTCCTTTGTCTCACACCTCTGCTCACTGTTTCTATTATGCTTTTCTTGTACTTTCTTCTCTTGCTTCGTGTGCTACACGGAGTGTGGCGACTTGAACTGGTGCATATTTGTGCAAAGTTCTATGTCGAAAACAGACAGACAGACAGACAGTATATAGATGGGACTGTACAGGTAAATGAATGAATTCGCTGCAGAGGAAAAAAAAAACTCTTCGCTGAACTTTGTCGTCCTTGTATTTATGTCTGGATGGGGGCCGGGGGGGGGGTATTTTCCGTGTATTTGAAATAACACACAGTAATGCAGTACTCATTACTGAGTGGTGTTTCGAACACAATTTACTGCTCGTAATCATATTAAATTGATATCACTGATTTGTGTACTATCACGTATACAGTTAGGCATACAGAATGCTTTCGCTTGAAAAAAAAAGTCATGATTTGGTAAACGAAGTGTTTTCTTACGAGTTAATCGCGGGTTGATATCAGTTAGAAAATTAATGATAACTAGGGAGTATTGAACAGCTGTTTCAGTATAGTTTCGAACCCAGGACCCTCCGGTTACACGGCTAGCTGGCTCGTTTACCATTCAGCCAATGGGACCCACCCAACTCCCTAATGGCCAACCAGTGCATGAATTCTAACTTCTGTCAATTCGTGATTTAGCACGACTGGCACCAAACACTGTTTTCGATGGGACACATCCATCCTCACACTTGACGGAATGTACCTCACTGGTCAAGTGGGTGTGTACTGCCGATGATTCCCGGTCTAGGATGAAACAGCTGTCCGATACTCCCTAGTGTTTTTCAATGGTTCTCTATCTGATATTAATCGGTAATCAACACGTTGAAAGAAATCTGATCCGTACAAAAACAAATATTGGAAATCAAGTGTTGCTTAAGAAAAACTATTTGACAGATACATTGAATGTCTTTAATTTTCCTTATACACGAAACGACGCTTCCGACGACGTCGAATCTTATATCACAATGTTTAACTCCACAACATGTACATATATATATATATATACATATATAGGCCATAGGTATTTAGTTAATCGATTTTTCTCAAGACTGAAAACTTTCAATCTCCAGATAGTTGGTCCATATCAAAAGTCGAATATGCAAGTGCACAATTTAACGATGCTTAATGACTTTTGGTTTAGGAATAAATCAAGAAATCTGACTCACATTTTAATTTTCACTTTACATGGTTACTTTGAATGTGTTCAGGAAGAGACATTTTGTCGAATGACTGAAGGTGCAAAATTATTATTATTATTATTGTATCCTTTAGTTCCTAGAGGAACATAGGGCTTCAGCTGCGCACCTCCATTGACTTCGGTTTTCTGACAACTTTTTCACCCCGCTCCAGGTCTGTCCACATGCTTTCATCTCCTCCTCGCATGACCTCCTCCAAGTCACCCTTGGACGACCAACTCGCCGCCTCCCTTTCGAGTTCCACTCGAGGAACGGCTTGTCTAGTGATGTCACTTGATGGTTTCCTCAGCGTATGGCCAATCCATCTCCATTTCCTCCTGCCTATTTGTTTCACAATCGGTTCCTGATTGGTTCGCTCCCAGAGATCCCTGTTGCTGATCTTTTCTGACCGGCCATCTGATCATGAGTATTGAGCGGAGACAGCTGTTAATGAAGGTTTGAAGTTTGTTTGAGATGCTCTTTATGACTCGCCAAGTCTCTGATCCGTATAGTAGCACTGACTTCACATTGGAGTTGAAAATCCGGATCTTATTTTTGATGCTGATTGCTGTTGACCTCCACACAGATTTGAGAGTAATGAAAGCTTGTCTTGCTTTTCCGATTCTGGCTTTGATATCCTCATCAGTTCCGCCTGTAGTTGAGACGATGCTTCCCAGGTAGGTGAAGGAGATTGTTTCTTTCGGGTTCTTCCCATTTATGCTGGCTGATTGTTGTCTGTTGTTGTTGCTGCTGTTGATGTTGGCTAGGAATCTTCATCACCTCTGTTTTATCTATGTTCACGTGAAGTCCTATCTTTGATGCTTCTTCTGCCAACTTGTTACTTTTCACTTGCATATCTTCCAGTTTATGGGAAATCAGACATATATCATCGGCGAAATCCAGATCCTCCAAGTCTTTTGTGTCAGTCCATTTTATGCCTGTTCCCTCGTTGGTTGCCGTTGTCTGTCGCATTATCCAATCAATTGCAATCAGGAAGATCATTGGTGATAGTAGACAGCCTTGCCTCACTCCCGTCCTCACTTCGAAGGCCTCCGTAAGTTTCCCGTTGTGGATTACTTGGCATGTAGCATTGTCGTATAACTGTTGGATGAGATGTATAATTGTCGATGGGACCCCGTAGTAGCGAAGTAGTTGCCAAATGACCTCTCGACCGACGCTGCCGAAGGCCTTTTCAAAGTCGATGAAGTTGAGATAGAGAGGTGACTGCCATTCCAAGCTTTGTTCAATGATGATCCGTAGAGTGGCGATTTGATCAATACATGATTTGTTTCTCCTGAATCCAGCCTGTTCCGGACGAAGTTTGCACCTTCGAAGGTGCAAAATATATTTTCCAAACTAACGATTTTTGATGATTGGTGGCAATCAGCGATTGGAAGCCTTGCTCGACCTAGGTTTTATGCTAGTTGGCATTCACCGGTCAGTAAGGCAGGCGTA